AAAAAGCGAAGGCAGAAACAGGGATTTCGATTGATAGTTGGGACAAAAATGTAGCAAATGGTTAAAGAAGGTACTAAATTCTTTGCATAAAAATTTTATCGGATTTTTCCATTGATAGGCTTGATATGGCAGTTACACTTTCGTTGACTTCCCTTTTTTAGGGGATACTGCAAATTCTTCAATGTGAAGTCTGAGAGGTAGTTAGAACAAAGTCGGTTTCTATAGATTTGTTTGGGATGAAACAAGAGGCGAGTTCAAACTTTTGTCCGGATCTAGAGCTACACCATCTATGTGCACTTCTCCAAAATCCGAGTAGTTCGGTTCAAGATATGCGATAGTAACTTTTGACTTTAACATTGCATAAAATTGATAGCTACTGTGTTGTCTTCAGTTTTCGAGGAAAGGAAGAAATAAAAGAGAACTTAGGCATGCGATACAAGGCTTACTGGCATCATTCCAAGTGCCAGATTCTGCCTTATAGAAATCTCAATTAGCTGCTCAACTGTACAAATCTTGCTCGTTCTGATCATTTTTATATTAACACTGACATGTTGAGAAGAAGGGAAGTTTAGTTCAGTATTGTTCAACAAAGTGATCCGAACTGTCGTGATTGCTCACCTTCCCTATCCCAACACTTCGCCTACGGAAGGGTCCTAAGAAAATCCTCCCTTTGTCACGCCTACTGCGAAGCATATATAACCGGGTTGGCACTATAATCAGTCGAGTCGCCTGGGATGGTAGTAATCCCCCAAATTTGTCGCAACAAGAACGAACCATGCTCGTGATAACTCCAAACATGGCATGAGTTAGTTACGAACGTGGCTTGAAGTTTTTCTGCAGGTTTGAGGATAGACGCAAAAAATGCGCCATACCCCATCATCGAACCTGCGTTGAACGAAAACCAACGGCGCTCATAACCGCTGCACTATCAGTGCCAATGTTACAGTGCAAATATGAAAGCAATACTCATCTTTGCAAGAGGTGAGCTGTTCCAGCCATACTGAATAAAACAAGGGCTATGAAGTGGAATACTAGAGATCCGAAATGATAAGAGATTCGTTCCTTTAACCCTTTTGTAATTAGCTTAATCAAGCGGTTACTTTCTTTTAGAGACATTTATTTTGAGGTTTCAACTCATCATTCTGACCTCATTCACATCTCCGCCAACCTTTTTCCCCATTCCTCGGTCTCAAAATCTGTCATATTACCTCTTTAAAAAAAACTTTTGCACCATTTAGTCAAAACCATATTGCTAGATCTTTTCTAGAGAGGATTTCTATGCCAAAAAAGGCATCTTATTGTAAAAAGAGGAATGACTTTTCCCTACAGTTTTTAGGGGAGTTTTGAAGATTACTTGGCCGGAATTTTAAGAGTAGGGGCTGCGTTGTCTTGACCTGAATCTACCGCTTCATCAATCCTTTAATGATTCACTCATTTTGTAGCATGCGTCAAAATGTGAAGAATTAGACAAAATATGAGAATAAAAAACTTAAAACCAGAAAAAAATCGATTGCTATACATTATCCATCTTTAGGACTTAATCACGCGTAAGTCGCAGAGAAAACAAAAGAGATTATTTAGCCAAGACAATATACTCCCATGATTCGGAGACAATTTCAATAAAGATTTTGGCTAGAAAAAAATCAAAATCCTAGATACAATTATATGTTCTAAAGAATTGGAATTAAGCAAAAACAACGTTGAGAAAGTGCAAAAAACGCTTGAAACCCAAAAAAATGGCTTATAATTACCGTTCCTTCAGCCGATAAAATGCGCGTCATTAATGCGTGCTCCGTGATGTAACTGCCTATGTAGAATGTTACGGACATGGCGTGCTTGAGTTATGAAGTCTATTCTCTCCTTTCCGTGCGCTATCTAACCTCGCGCCTGTCATGAGGTCACAACATCTCGAATCTTGTAACATCCTCGCATCTTTTGAACAATGCGCCAATGTTGCGAGGTGTTCGCACCGCGTCAGACTCGCATGTTGAGAGATACGAGATAGTGCAAGATAGATGGATCTGTCGTGAGCTACGTTCGCACCTTGATGTAATAACATGCAGGGAGTTTACTACCGCCTTTGCCGTTACCACAACCGGTCGTCCGAGATATGAGCCAACGGAGGAAGGTGAAGAACGCCAGCTGACTGGGTATCCCGCCTATCGAAACAACATCAATGATGTACTCCTGCTAGCCATGAGCAGAAGCCAATGTGCCGATCAGCACACGGCGTCGTCGAGGAAAATGCCCCGTCCCCAGTCCCCTGCCGAGTGCGTCGGCTTGTTTTTCTTTGTATATATTGCATGTTATTCTATGTATCTATTCTGTGCACATTATCGTGTATGGAAAATCATAAAAATGGCACTATTAATAGCTGTTATATCGTCCAATGCATTGAACGTACGGACGTATCACGGCCCGGGCAAGCCACCAGGTAGCCCACTCCGGGAGCAGGGAGCCAGGTTGACTCGCGGCTAAGGTTAGCTGCGCCTGGGTAAGAGCTCTAAAGGCTAACGCGTATGCTAGGCAATAGGCCCTTAAGCCCGCACAGGCAGCATATCAGCCACAGACTACATGCTTTCTAGGTACGCTACCTCTGTCGTGATCGGCAATTTGCTGCCGATGCCGGTCGGGCACGACACAAACCATTTTAACATCTTATTTATGGCATTCGCAAGGCTGCTTTTCAACTGCGTAAAAGTGGACCTCTTTTCTAGTGAGTGTATGAGGTTATGCAGCTCAATGGCTACTACAGCAATATTTTTTGATTGGTGTATATTTTGAACGGGACAAGCCGACATCATTTTCCTGAACTGCTTGAGGAATTTGGACGGCTGACATTTCACCGCTTACTCATAATGAAAAAATTGGCAATGTACTTTATGAGTAAATCATACTCTTTACCAACTGAGACGACGGCTTTGAGGGAGAGAAGGATTTTTCTTGATTTCCCCTGTGATTGCTTAGTAATAATCTGCAGCTTGCCTTAACGCTTTAGGAATGACCTAAGCCAAAATAGCTGTTGATAAGCTTAAAGGACTGGTGTTAGTCTGGTATGGTGATTGTATTAATGTTCATAATATTAGATGTAAGCAAAACGCAGATTTTGTCTGGATCTGCAAAATATCTTTCTGAAAGAAGATCCATGAATTTAACAAGGTGACTTCAATGTGTACGATTCACCTTTTGCTTGAAAGCTTTATCTTATCCAGGAGATGAAACTGAATTTTTTATTTACCACACTTCTGATTTGGCTAATAATAAGCCCCACCAAGCTGTTTGATTCAAATTTTTTTAGTCAATAGGGAGGATAAGGTACTGCCTTAATAGCAAAACTTCCTTAATCACCTTATTCCCTCAATGCTGATTTAGAATTTTGAAATCAACCTTTTGAGGTGCATCTAACGATATATTTATTTAGAAGCAGCCACACCAAGCTACCCTTTGCTAGCATAGCACTACGTATGCGCTGTACAAAATACAGTAGTGGACGTTGATTACGCTTTTCATAAAAAAATAAAGTA